GTACTAAATTTAGGCTTTTGATTTATTATGACGACTGTTAGTTTTTGGTTTGTGCTAGGATCTATCATTATTCGTTACTGTTTTGTATAATTTTTATAATTAAATACATTTGTAATTGTAATATTGATTTTTGCCTATAAATAAAAATATATATTTGAATTATAATTTTTTTTGTGATATTTTTTAATTTGAACAGAACCTTTTTCTTTTATTTAATAAGTTATGGTTAAGAATTGTTAATAAGGTTTATATTAGGAACAGCAATTGCAGATCGATAATTCGATTATAAGATTTGGTAATTTGAAAATTGAATTGAAAAATATATTTAAGAAGTAATAGATTTCAAAGTTATAATTAGATAAGTTAAATAAATAATATTTAGTTTATACTATTTGGATTGTAATATTGGATGAATACTATGGAGTAGATAAAATTAAAAAACAATAATGTACTCAAGCAATTAAATTTATAAAATTGAAAAAATTCATTCGAATTTAAAAGTTTGTAATTTTTATTTGTAGTTGATTGAAAAAACAATTAAAAATAAAATAACGACGAAAAAAAATATTTATTTTTAAGTAACTGATAATGGCACAGTTATTATTAGTTTAATTGTAATTGCATCCGCTCGAGATTTCTTCGAAACTTTCCATCGATTTTCAGCTAAAAAACTTCCCTTGGAACTTGGCGAAATCAAAAATTCTCATCGAATGATAAGGCTTTGAAATTTCTTAGGTCAATTTAAGTAGGCTAGTTGAAAAGCTGAGAAAATTTGCTAAAAGATGATACCTTGCACCACTCGATAACTCTCAGGTAGGTTTTTTTAATAATTGATTGATAAAATATTAATTAATTAATTTGCAATTAGTTAGTAACTAAATATATTCATTTTGGTGCCGCGACAAAATAACTGCAGATAAAATAACCGAACGACATTATAACCATGTAACAAAATAATCAAGTATTACAACGACTGAACGACAAAATATTATAATGAAAATATTTTCGCATAAACACACACACACAAAATTTATGAAAAAAGGGCACATCAAAATAACAAGCTTACTTGTTGATCTATTTTCGAGATATTAATTATAGACTTTTATAATTTGAATATTTTGTCGTTTAGTTATTTTATTACTTGGTTATTTTGTTACATGATTATAATATCGTTCGGTTATTTTATCTGCGGTTTTTTTGGTACGACGTCATTCATTTTACTTTGTACGATGATCTCAAGGTTGATTTTTGAATTTTTTAAGTATGGAAAATCCTACTACACAGGTCAAAGGTCAAAACTTAAAAAAATGAAACTATATTGTTTTATTTCGATATTGATGGAGTATGCTTTAATCTTCTACCTTCTTTAAAGACAGTAATTTTTGATAATTAGTTTGTTTTTCAGAAATTCTTATACGAATGGCTGTGTATTAATATAAAAGCAATTAACGTTCTCCAAAATAATTATATAAATATAAAAATTATCGATTAAATGAAACTGAATAGTAGCATATGAATTCTAATAATACTAATGATTAATTATTTGGTTTATACTCTGAGTTATTTTCAATAACCATCAATAGCGGGACCGCCCTAATTTCATAAAACAGTGGAATTCACCTGAGTAGAAGGAAAATTTAGAGCATATAAAATGAACCGTGACACTGCTCCATATTCAGTTTTTCCTCTACCACTTCAACCGGACAGCACCGGTGCATCTAGTAATTTTTTTCCAGTAGTTTCTAGCAATAATTCCTCCTTGCTTTGGTGGTTCAAGCAACATTATACCGAAGAGAAAAAGTATACGTACGACAACGAAGATGATGAAGCTCTTGGTGTTGGCCATCTCGGCTTTTTGCCTCACCCAGGCAATGGCAGTGGAGACTCACACTTCTGACATGAACTTCCTCCACAAGCAGAAGAAAATCTATCTTCATATTCGTCGAACAGACTGATCTTCGTGGAGCCGATTGGTACGAAACCGGCCGCAATTACGACATTTTCCAACACATCGAGGACTACCAAGACCAGGTATCATACGATCCGAATAATTATTAAAATAATTTTCTATTGTATTTACTAATATTCGGCATGAATTTTCCAGGAGATCGTCCGCGAATTCATGTACAGATTCAAGTTGGGTATGCTCAGCCGCAAATCCCTCTTCTCGGTCTACTACAAGGAACACCGTGAAGAACTTCGCGGCCTGTTCAAGCTGTTCTACACCGCTAAGGACTTTGAAACCTTCTACAAGACTGCCTGTTGGTCCCGCCACTACATCAATCACGGAATCTTCGTCACCGCTCTTACAACCGCTGTTATGTACCGTCCCGACTGCAAATACATCGTATTGCCACCTATGTACGAATTCTATCCACAGCTTTTCTTCGACAACGAAATCATTCAGGAAGCACAACGTTACTATATGAGCTCTGGTAAGATCTTTTTTTATCAGGTATTAAAATGCAAAAAAAAGACAAAATTTTTTGGTGAAATAATTAATTTTTTTATAGAGAAAATTTTTAAAATAATAATGTTTTTTAGAAAAAAAAACAGGCATGAATAAAACTGGCAGTCAAGGTCTCTTCTTGGACGACTACCTAATCGACAGAAACACAACCAGCCAATTCATTAAATATAACATGGACAAAGAATATCATCTATCATACTTCACCGACGATGTAGACCTCAATAACTACTACTACTATATCCGCAACCTCTTCCTCTTTTGGATTACCCTCAGCGATCTGGACATGCCAAAACACATGCGTGGAGAACTCTACTACTACGTCCACCAACAGCTCATGGCCCACTACTACTTGGAACGTTTGAGCAACGGTATGGGTGAGATGGAAGACTTCGACTTCTACCAGTCCTTCGCCCCCGGTTACTTCTCCAACCTGGTCTACGGAAACGGAGTGCCAATGCCCAGCCGCGACCAACACAGTCAAATTCCCTCCTACAAATACAAATACGTAAACGAAGTCGAGAATATTGAGTCCCGCATCTTGGCCGCTATCGACAGCGGATTCATCTACGACTACGAAGGCAAGCAATTAGGTCTCTACACCCCAGAAGGCTTCAACTACCTCGGCAACTTAATCGAAGGCAACTACGACTCCCGCAACACACGGTTCTACGGTGCCATCGACGCTCTCTACCGCGACATCTTCGGCTTCAACTACGACTGCAAGCACAAGAACTGCTTCGTCCCCAGCGCTCTCCAAATCTACAGCACCAGTCTCCGCGACCCAGCCTTCTACCGTCTCTACAAGAGAATCCTCAGCTACTTCTTCAGATACAAATCCCACCTTCCATCCTATACCCGCTCAGAGCTCGAATTCCCAGGTATCAATATTGAAGACGTCAACGTTGACAAACTTGTCACCTTCATGGAACCCTACGAATACTTCATCAACAACGCTGTCACTGTTGACACCTTCAAGGATGGCATGAGCTTCAACATCAAGGCCAAGAAATACCGTCTTAACTACAAACCCTTCACCTACCACATTGATGTTAAGAGCGACAAGAAGACTAAGGGTATGGTTTGCATTTTCTTGGGACCATCGATGGACGAGTACTACTTCAAGGAACCTAACTACATGTACTACAACTGGTACAACTTTGTTGAGCTTGACAAATTCTTCTTTGACTGTAAGTATTCTTTTTTTTTTTCGTAATTAAATGCATAGAAAAAAAATTGTTCCTTTGATAACTAATTCAATATATTTAACGAGCAGCACAAAAATTTTTTTCAACAAAATGTTGCAAGTAAAATTTATAGATGAAAAAATACAAGCATTTTCTTGAGACACTGGCACTTAATGAATTTGTAAAATTTAAAATATTAAACAATGTCTCAAAAAAAAAAATTCTTCTTGCTCTAAAACAAGTCTTTAAAAAAATTTTCTTAACCAATTTAATTGATGATTTAATAAAATGATTTTTTGTTAAATTACAGTCAAGGTTGGCATGAACACAATCGAACGCTACAGCGCTGACTCAATGTTCACTGCCAAGGACTTCATGGGATCCGACTATTTCTACAAGAAATTGTACAAATCAATTGAAGGAAGCGAACCATTCACCTACAACGAGAAAGTCTACAGATTCCCCAACAACTTGTACCTTCCTAGGGGAGCCGTCGTTGGTATGCCATTCAAACTGTACGTGTTCATCTATCCATTCGAAGAGAGCAAGACTACCTTCTTCGACTTCCCGATGTTCGGCAAGATGATGTACGACGACAAGCCATTCGGATTCCCATTGGACAGACCAATGAAGCCATGGTTCTTCGATCTCAACAACATGTTCTTCAAGGACGTCTACATCCACTACGACAAGAATTACAGCGACTACCACTAATACCTCAATATCTTTTAATTTGAACAGAACCTTTTTCCTTTATTTAAAAATTATGGTTAAGAATTATACGGTTTATATCAAGAACAGCAATTGGAGATCGACAATTTGATTGTACGATTTGGTAATTTGAAAATTTAATATATTAATTTTGGAAAATGTTAGTTTTTAAATAGATGAATTTGTTATGATAAAAATATTTTTGAAAAGTAATAGATTTCAAAGTTATAATAACATAAATTAAATAAATAATGTCTAGTTTATACTATTTGGATTGTAATATCAAATTTTTCATTAGTAATTATTGTTAATTTTCGATCAATAAAAAAATCAATTTTAAAGATTCTTGATCAACCGAAAGACTCTCGAAGTAATTAATAACATTAATAGTAATAAAGATTACCAAGAAATATAATTGTGATACTTAAATTTTTTACAAATATCTCTATCGTATTAGTTTTTCTAATTCCTTCATTAATTAACGTCAATTTATATTTCTTTAATAGAGGACAAATGAATTGAATCTTTTAATATCATCACGCGAGAAATCACGATAATTATTGATACTCGACATACCGTCGGAATGATCTAACACTTTTGACGCGTGAGATGTGTCAATAAATATGTCGTGTTTTTTTTAATAATAATTTTCAATTATCAACTGATTTACTTGATATACTTATATAAAATGAAATTTAAATTTAAAAAATACTTTATTTTTTTTAACAAAAATAATTTAAATTCTATTGCATCATTTCGACTCATCATAATTTTTTATCTTCTATTAGATAATAATTATAAGCAAATAAATTGATGTACATAACTTCATTAATTAACGATGTATCAAAGATAGTAACCGCGGTCAATAACCGGAGACTAAAAGTTAAAAATTAAAAATACTGAGTAGCAAAAAATCTAGTAAACAACGAACTTGAACCACCTGATAAACTGGAGATATAACACCCAGTATTCGGGAATCAGAGGTCATAGATAATCATGTTCGCGAGTTTATTTAAATAATTAAAGCTTACAAGTATATGTAAATGCTAAAAGCATTATATATCCGAATTTATTAATATTATCATTAAGATAAATAATTAATAAACTAATAAAGCGTATTTTTTTTAGATTTTAAAATTTAGTGTCAAAGGTTACCAACAAACCCCCAGTATATAAAGATGCTTCGTAACTATTAATTGCATAGTGTAGTACAGAGTTTTTAAGCGGTAGTTCTGTTTTTCGCGATGATTAAAATTTTGGTGGTCTTGGCCACAACCAGCCTTTGCTTGGCGGCTATCCACAAGCAATCTGGTACCATAAATGTCGCCAAGAGGGCTTATTTGACCAGACAAAAGGACCTGTGGGATATCTTCTGGCACCCTGATCAACCGACCACCATTCATCCAGAATTCTACGAAATCGCTAAATCATTCAGCATTGAAGATCATGTCGACTCTTACACAAACGCGGTATTGCATCTTTTTTTTATTTATTTATTTATTTCTGACTATTTATTAAACCAGAACGATTTTATTTTTGCAGACTTACGTCCATGACTGGATCAGGCTTTACAAGCAAGGATTGCTTCCTCGCGACGTAGTTTATTCGCCATTCCACCCGGCGCATTACGAAGAAACTGTGGCGCTTTTCCGAATACTCTTCTTCGCCAAAGACTACGACACTTTCTACAAGACCGCGATTTGGGCTCGCTTCAACGTTAACGTCGGATTATTTGGGCACACTTTGGCCATACTGGCGATCCATCGTCCAGACACCGTTCACCTACGCTTGCCTCCTCTGTACGAGATTATTCCACATGCTTTCTTCAACTCCGATGTTATGCAAGCTATTCGTAGCGTCAAAATAGGAGATGCCGGTGATTAATTAATAATTACATAATTTATTTTTTTTAAAAGACAAATTCATAATCTTCGGATCTAATTTTGCAGGTGTCAAAAAATCTCTAGCTATAAAATACCACGAAGGCGGCGACATTGTCATCCCGGCAAACTACAGTGGTTGGTACCTGCAGCATCCGCACGCTGATGAAGAATTGACCTACTTCACTGAAGATATTGGTCTCTGTACTTACTATTTCTTCTTTGCTCACGATTTCCCGCACTTCATGAACAGCGGTGACTATCAACATCTTCAGAAGGAAGTTCGTGGAGAAGTATACTTCTTTGGACACAAACAATTACTCGCTCGTTACTATTTGGAGCGTTTGTCCAATAATATGGGAGAAATTGAATTCATTGACTGGCATGAACCTATTGTGACTGGTTTCTATCCTACACTTACTCATACCAATGGACTTCCCTTTCCTCATCGTCATGCGGGGAGTCATATTCCTAATCACAAGCTCGATTTAGTTCACGTAAGTATTTACATATTTAATAATTTAATAATAATAATAAACTAAAATTTTTTTTTACACAATTTTAAATCTAAATTTTTCCAAAAACATAAAATGAAACAAATTTTCTAATTATTATTATTATTTAGGACGCTGAAGAAGCAGAAACCCGCATCCACGCAGCAATTGACTCTGGAATAGTATATGACTACCACCACCCTCCCAGAGCAGTAAACATTTACACCCCCGAAGGTCTGAACATCCTCGGAAACTTAATTGAAGGAAATGCAGACTCTTTGAACCGAGACTTCTACGGTAGCTTGGACCATTTGAGCAGAATGATTCTCGGCTTTGGACTTAAACCAATTGACAAGAACCACTTGGTCCCCAGCACCCTCGAGTACTACACCACCAGCATAAGAGACCCAGCATTCTTCCGTATTTACAAGAAGATCGTCGGTTACTACCTGAAGTACAAGGAACATCTCCCGCAGTACACTCACGAAGACTTAGCCTTCCCTGGAGTTAAAATTGACTCTGTCGTTGTAGACAAGCTCTTTACTTTCTTCGAGCCCTACGATGTTCTTGTTAGCAACGGTGTGCTAGTATCTTCACAAAAAGACGCAGAATCAACGGTAATAAAGGTCCGCCAACAGCGTCTGAACCACAAACCCTTCACCTACCACATCACCGTCAGCAGCGACAAGAAGGTCAAGGCCACTGTTCGCGTCTTTTTAGGACCCAAGTTGAACCACTATGGCCATGAGTTTGAATTCACTGACAACTGGGAAAACTTCATTGAATTGGACCAATGGATTGTCGACCGTAAGTTTTTAATTTCTTTTTTGATGCAAAAAGAAAACTAAATGTTTATAATTATTATTTTTTTCATTACAGTCAAGCCCGGTACCAACAAAATCGAGCGCAGCAGTCATGAATCAATCTACGTTTACCCTGACGAAGCAAGTAGCTCAGAGTACTGGAAGCTTTTGACGAAAGCCATCGAAACTGACGAACCATTCACTTACAATATGCAAGTAGCTGGATTCCCAGACCGCCTGATCCTGCCCCGTGGAAAGAGAGAAGGTCTTCCTCTCAAATTGTTCGTCTTCGTCAGTGAGTTTGACGAGAGCCACAGCTTCAAATTCGACTCACCAGTCTGGGGTCAAACTGTCACCGACGCCAAGCCCTTGGGATATCCTCTGGACCGACCTGTCGTGCCCTACGCATTCACCGTGCCAAATGCCTACTTCAAGGATGTCGCTGTCTACCACAAACACGTTGAAGAACTCAATTCAACTGTTTAATTTTGTTTTATTGTATATGTTTATTATATATAATTTTTTGGATAATATACTGTACTGTAGATTAAGATGATTTTTATTGTAGTGAATTTTCATTTTCAGTTTTATTATTTTAAAAAATGAAAAATACATTTTATACATAAAATTTTATTTTATTGGTCTTAGGTTATTTTTTTGATTAATTGATTAATAAAATATCATTTGCTATTAGTTAGTGACTAAATATATTAATGTGGGTATTCATTTTACTTGGGACGACGATCCCCAGGTCGCACTCTGCATTGATTTTTGAATTTTTTAAATATGAAAAACCTTACTTCAGAGGTCGAAGGTTAAAACATAAAAAAATAGAATTATATTGCTTTATTACGATATTGATTGCGTATTTTTTAATCGAGAAGAAGTTATTTTTGATAATTAGTTTGTTTTTTAGAAATTCTTTTACGAATGGCTGTGTATTAGTATAGAAGCAATTATTGTTCTGTAAAATAATAATACAATTATAAAAATTATCAGATTAGTTGACAAATACTCCCCGTTATTTTTAATCGTTAATTTTTCTACATTTTTGTATCTTTTTATGTTAAAAATGTAAGAATAAGACTGATTCTACACCAATGTTCAAAATTAAATAATTGGTCTGCGTTATTCGATTAAACAACTTTAAGGTCTAATTGTATGCAATCACAGACATAACAAAAACCGAAAACATTTTATTTTAACTGATTATTTACGACGAGATCAAAACTATCCAGAAATCCAGATAATCTGGTTATAGAATCTGGATACAGGGCCTCTGGAATTCTTTGGAAGAATTTGAGATTGCTAGTTAAAAAGCTGAGAAAATTTCCTAAACAATAGTATCTCGCACGACTCGATGCCTCTCAAGTCATTTTTTTGGTTAATTGATTAATAAAATAGTAACCAATTAATTTGCTATTAGTTAGTGACTAAATATATTAATGTGTGTATTTATTTCACTTAGGACGACGATCCCCAGGTCACACTTTGCATCGATTTTTGAATTTCTTGAATATGGAAAATTCTACTTCAGAGGTCGAAGGTCAAAACTTCAAAAAATGGAATTATATTGTTCTATTTCGATATTGATTGCGTACTACTTTAATCTGGAGGTAGTCATCTTTCATAATTAGTTTGTTTTTCAAAAAGTCTTATACGAATGGCTGTGTATTAGTATAAAAGCAATTAACTGTTTTCAAAATAATTTAATAATTATAGAAATGATCAATTAAATGAAATTGCGTAACATATAAATTCTAATAATACTAATGACTGATTGGTTGGCTTCTACTCCAAATTATTTTTGATCGTTGATCTGACCGATGATAGAAATTTCTTTCTTTGATGCGACTACTTGCCGCTTAACGTAACGCTGCGCATAAATCGGGGCAACCTATCGCGGTTCCTAGAACAAAGGAGCTCATCTGAGTAGAGGAAAAATTTGGAGCATATAAAAAGTCAACCGTGACACCGTTCCATATTCAGTTTTTACTCTATCCTTCAACTGGACTGCACCCGTGCATCCAGTAGCTTTTATTCTGCGTACCGTTGACATACGTTTACCTATAGGCGCGGTTTCCGGATCCCGAGATATATAATCATCGGTCTATTTCTAGCGATGATTAAAATTTTAGTGGTCTTGGCTACAACCAGCCTTTGCTTGGCGGCTATCCACAAGCAATCTGGTACCATAAATGTCGCCGAGAGGGCTTATTTGACCAGGCAAAAGGACCTGTGGGATATCTTCTGGCACTATGATCAACCGACCACTATTCATCCAGAATTCTCCGAAATTGCTAAATCGTTCAGCATTGAAGATCATGTTGACTCTTACACAAACGCGGTACTACATCTTTTTGTATTTATTTATTTATTTTTGACTATTTATTAAAACATAACGAATTTCTTTTTGCAGACTTACGTCCATGACTACATCCGGCTGTACAAGCAAGGATTGCTTCCTCATGACGTAGTTTACTCGCCATTCCACCCGGCGCATCATGAAGAAACTGTGGCGCTTTTCCGAATTTTCTTCTTCGCCAAAGACTACGACACTTTATACACGACCGTTATTTGGGCTCGCTTCAACGTTAACCCCAAATTATTTGCATACACTTTTGCCGTAGCGGTGATCCATCGTCCAGACATCCGTCACCTACGTTTGCTTCCTCTGTACGGAATTGCTCCACATGCTTTCTTTAACTCCGATGTTATGCAAGCTATTCGTAGCGTCATTACTATTTGGAGCGTTTGTCCAATAACATGGGAGAAATTGGATTCATTGACTGGCATGAACCTATTGTGACTGGTTTCTATCCTACACTTACTCATACCAATGGACTTCCCTTTCCTCATCGTCATGCGGGGAGTCATATTCCTAATCACAAGCTCGATTTAGTTCACGTAAGTATTTACATATTTAATAATTTAATAATAATAATAATAAACTAAAATTTTTTTTTACACAATTTTAAATCTAAATTTTTCCAAAAACATAAAATGAAACAAATTTTCTAATTATTATTATTATTTAGGACGCTGAAGAAGCAGAAACCCGCATCCACGCAGCAATTGACTCTGGAATAGTATATGACTACCACCACCCTCCCAGAGCAGTAAACATTTACACCCCCGAAGGTCTGAACATCCTTGGAAACTTAATTGAAGTAAATGCAGACTCTCTGAACCGAGAGTTCTACGACAGCTTAGACCACTTGAGCAGAATGATTCTCGGCTTTGGACCTAAACCAATTGACAAGAACCACCTGGTCCCTAGCACCCTCGAGTACTACACCACCAGCATAAGAGACCCAGCATACTTCCGTATTTACAAGAAGATCGTTGGCTACTACCTGAAGTACAAGGAACATCTCCCGCAGTACACTCATGAAGACTTAGCCTTCCCTGGAGTTAAAATTGACTCTGTCGTTGTAGACAAGCTCTTTACTTTTTTCGAGCCCTGCGATATTCTTGTTAGCAACGGTGTGCTAGTATCTTCACAAAAAGACGCAGAATCAACGGTAATAAAGGTCCGCCAGCAGCGTCTGAACCACGAACCCTTCACCTACATCATCAACGTCAACAGCAAAAAGAAGGTCAAAGCCAATGTTCGCATCTTTTTAGGACCCAAGTTCGACCACCATGGCCATGAGCTTGAATTCACTGACAACTGGGCCAAGTTCATTGAGATGGACCAATGGATCGTCAACCGTAAGTTTTTTAATTTCTTTTTTGATGCACAAAGAAAACTAAATGTTTACAATTATTATTTTTCTTTCATTACAGTCAAGCCCGGTACCAACAAAATCGAGCGCAAAAGTAATGAATCAATCTATGTCTATCCTGACGAAGTAAGTAGCGCAGAGTACTATAAGCTTCTGACGAAAGCCATCGAAACCGACGAACCATTCACCTATGACGTGCAGGTAGCTGGATTCCCTGACCGCCTGGTCCTGCCCCGTGGAAAGAGAGAAGGTCTTCCACTCAAGTTGTTCGTCTTCGTCAGTGAGTTTAACGAGAGCAACCGCTTCAACGTCGACTCACTAGTCTGGGGCCAAACCATCACCGACGCCAAGCCCTTGGGATATCCTCTGGACCGACCTGTCGCGCCCTACGCATTCACTGTGCCAAATGCCTACTTCAAGGATGTCACTGTCTACCACAAACCCGTTGAAGAACTCAATTAAACCGTTCAATTTTGTTTTATTGTATATGTTTATTATACATAATGTTTTTTTTGATAATATACTGTACTGTCGATCAAGATGATTTTCATTGCAGTGAATTTTCATTTTTAGTTTTATTTAAATTGCTTGCCGAAAATTCTAATTGTTTGAAATTTCAATATTTTATCGGTTGTTGAATTGGGTAATTTAAAACTAGCTAATATCTATTAAAAATATGAAGTTTTTCGTTAGGACTGTGTAATATTTGAATACTTTAAATAAATATTTAAAAAATTTATCACTTCTTAATAATTATTCGAAATAATTCTCGGATCCATGACAAACAATTTAAAAGAAATTAGCAAGCTGTAAGAATCAGTTTTTATGTTGTTAGTAAATTTTTATTTAATCATTTCGTCATGAATCATAACTTCTTCCGACTCAAGGTAAAATATTAGATTTTTTATTGTAATATTAGTAATTTAAATTATAAATGAATTCTGGATAAAATTACGAATATAAAAAAATATTCTAAAAACATTAAAAAAAAAATTTTGATTGCAAATAAATAGTTACGTTATTAAAAAAATAACTAATAATGATTAAAATTTATCAAATATTACATAATTAGAATAGAAAAATTTTATTTACTAATATTGGAATATTTTTTCAAATTAAATGCTAATTAATCTTCCCCAAGACTATTAATCTCATCAAACAAATATAATCCCGAGTAATTAAATAATAATTTCCATTAATTAAAAATTGTAAATGATAAAAATAACGAGTGTTAGATTGCGACAAAAATATTTTTCTACAAACTAGTATCTACCCCTCCTGGAGATAATATTACACTGATCATCCCATGTCTGATAATGATACTGTAAATAAATGAAGACACTGTAAGCGAAAACATAAAAAACAAAATCTAAACGCGTGTAGGTCATAGACTCATGACCCGATATGAGGTTCATGATTGATGATTAGTTACTATCAGAGTACTATAAAACCCGATGGGTCTAGTGGAGAAAGAACACTTTTTTTCAGCCGCTACGCGACATAGTCGCTAAATATTAATTCTCGTTTTTACAAATCTAGCAATTAAATGCTGAAAGAGGTGTTTTTGTCCGCCCTTGTGGTGGTCTGCATCACCACTACCAGCGGTTTTTACTACACGGAACAGACCGCAGACCAAGAATTTCTGGTTAAGCAGAAGAAAGTTTACAATTTGCTGTACCACACTTCTCAACCTAACCTCGTGATTAAAGATTTATTCAAAGAAGGATTAGACTACAGTATTGAAGCCAACATTGATTCATACACCAATAAGGTACGTCTTCATCATCATCATCATCAAAGACTTTTTCATTATTATTAATCCATATATTTATTTCTTCACTCTAGGAGGCAGTAACTTCCTTTATCGAACAATACAAGTTCGGATTCCTGCCAAGAGGATCTTTGTTCTCTATTTACTACCCGAAGTTATTGTCAGAAACCAAAGCACTCTTCAAGCTTTTCTTCTACGCCAAAGACTTCGACACCTTTTACAAAACAGCTGCATGGGCGCGAGCTCACATCAATGAGGCCCAATTCATCTTCGCATTTTACCAAGCCGTTATCAGACGACCTGACACTGAATTCATCCAACTACCGCCGCCATATGAAATCTATCCTTACGCTTTCTTCAACTCTGAAGTAATCGAAGCTGCCAAGAATGTGAAACTCCTCAGAAAAGGCGGTAAGAAAAAAATTAATTTATCATTGCATGCTTTAAGAATGACCGAAATAAAAATGAGAATCTTTTCAGACTCTGCTGAAAATAGCCAGTTTATAATCCACTCAAATTACTCGGGCTGGTACTTGAACCGGGACTACGACATCGAAATGAAACTGAAGTACTTCATCGAAGACGTAAGTCTCAACACGTACTACTTCTTCTTCCGTGAAAACAACCCATTCTGGCTGAGCTCCGATGAATTCGGCCTGGACAAACACTCCCGAGGAGAAGAGTACTTCTACGGACACAGGCAATTGTTCAACCGGTACAACTTGGAACGTTTGGCTAATGGACTCGAGAAGATTGAAGACTTTGCTTGGGATAGCGAGTTCTATCCTGGATACTATCCAACAATGGTTTATCATACTGGATTGCCATTCCCGCAACGTCCACAATGGAGCAAAGTTCCTCACTACAAATACTCCTTCGTCCATGTAAGTACTTGGGTTATTTAATTGCTTATAATTTATAATTTAAAAAGAAAACGATGATAATTCGATGACTTTTCTCTGTAGGATGTTCATGACGCAGAATCTCGCGTTTCCATGGCTGTAGACTCTGGATTTATTTTAAGCGCCGGTGGCAAGATGGTCAGTATTGAAACCCACGAGGGTCTTAACTTACTGGGAAATCTTATTGAAGGAAACGAGGACTCGCTCAACAAGTACTTCTACCGCAGCATTGATACTTCTGCTAGAAGAATACTAGGCTTCAATCTCGAGCCGAAAACAGCATACCAAGTGATCCCCAGCGCTTTGGAGTCTACTTTCGCGTGTATGAGAGACCCAGCGTTCTACAGACTCTACAAGAGAATCGGGTACTACTACTACAGGTACAAAGAACTCTCCAAGCCATACCCGAAAGAGCAGGTAGTCTTCCCGGGTCTGAGGTTTGAGTCTCTGAGCACAGACAAGTTGGTGACTTTCTTCGACAGCTTCGACACGACCATCAGCAATGGCTTGCCGATCGCTGACCAAAAAGAAGCTGATTCTCTGTTCATAAAAGTACGCCAACAACGTCTTAACCACAAGCCGTTCAACGTACACATGGTAGTTAATTCTGATAAAGCTCAAAAAGTAGCTGTCCAGCTGTTCTTAGGACCAAAATACGATAGCCGACACAGTTTGGTTGATTTCTCCGAAAACTACAAGTACTTCTACGAAATGGATTACTGGATCGTTGATTGTAAGTTTTAATTATTGCAAATTAGTTACAAGATTTATTGATTAAATAATAATTTAATAATAATAATTTAATGTAATTTTATTTTTATTTTAGTAACTGCTGGAGAGAACAAACTTGAACGCAACAGCCACGACTTTTTCTACACGATGCCCGACAAGGAGCCGAGTGAAATTTTCTACAAGAGAGTAGAGAAAGCTATCGCCGGCACTGAGCAATTTACTTACAGGCAGAATGTCTACGGATTCCCGGAGCACCTTCTTTTGCCGAAAGGAAGCCGAGGTGGATCGACCTATCAATTATTCGCGTACGTCAGTCCAGTTGCGGAACCAGTTGAGTACAAATCTCGCGTGTTTGGAAGCTACACTTACGACCACAAAGCCATGGGCTTCCCTCTCGATCGCCCTATCTACTACCCTCACTTCCAAGGACCAAACATGTTCTTTAAAGACGTCAACATTTATCTGGAACTTGACGTCGATCCCAATGCTACCGTTTAAGGTTAACTCAGAAGTTTTTTGCTTTTATCTCTTTGGTATTTCAATCGGCAGACATCTGATTGACCCCTAGATATGTAATCGAATTATTTTGTATATTTTTACCAGAATAAAGCACTGTCAAATCATATAAAACTATGTTTTATCATAAGTTATCTATTGTGCCTTTTCAAAATTTCAATTTAAGTATTTAGGCTGCATTCGAAAATGCTCTATCTCTAGATACATATAATTAAGAAATGACCTTGTATCTCGTGAACTAATGACATATTTAAAGATATAAGCTCATTCTGACATTACACTCATCGAGACCTTTCATTTGAGTATCCACATCAATTTTTCATAAATTTATAAATATCATATATACCTGTATATAAAAAATATATGAAAATGCATGTGGGTACTCAAATGAAAGCTCTTGATGAGTGTAACATCGGGATGAGCTTATATCTTTAAAAACATTAATATTTAAGAAAGTACAGTGCAATTTTACATAAGTAATTATTTAATAAAGCAAAATTTTATTTATTTATAGTTCACAAGTCACGGCAGTCACATAGTGACTGCACGGTTGCTAGTTAATATTAATCAAAATTTTCGTTCCAATCGATCAGACTCAAACAATTTTTCACATCCTGATGCTCAATTCAATATTCTTAAAAAAACTCTCTATTTTATGCTTCAATATTTATGTTTTCAACGAAGTAAAGTTCTGTTGAATCAATTGATGAACAAATATAAATAATGCTGTGAAGCGGGAAAGAATGGGAGTTACGGATAATTATTACGTGAAGCGTTCCAACTTTGTATGACTAAATTATTGATTTAAATTGTAATTAATAACACTTTGAGCCGCTGGCATAGTTGTTATGTCGTATTATGGCGGTTTATGATCGTATTTATGTCATTGTGTAACTGTATCGCCAGGTATAACAGTACCTCCATGATATAACGCATAACTACACCTACTATTGTATTAAATTCTTGAGATAACTTCCTTGCTGTGGTAATACTAGTACATCCTTAGACTCTTTACCTTGATTCATTGTTTGATCAAACAATAGACTCGTAATTTAACGAGTTCGCTTATATATCTGAGCTGCTTATCGTTGATATGAGCATTGTAGTATTTATATCCGATAAATTACGTAATGAAGAAGCACAAGTTATTTAATATAATTAAATAGGCAATTAAGCAAATCAACACGTCGTAAGCCGAATAAATGAATGTAAATGTTTAAAAAATGATTGATTTTACGGATGTTTCCGGAAGTATATCTTGTAGTCGGTCAAGGTCAAAGACAAACGTGTTTTACGTTAATTATTAAGTCCCGAGCCGAGTTAAGTTGTGAGAATGTGGAACGTTAACCTGCGTAGAGGCTAGAGGGGATAGAAATACCGAAGAATCAGGTGGAGGTAAATGCCGTTTACATTGAAACTCGGGTTCAAGAACTTCAGTGTTGCTATGACCACCATATCTTCAACAATTGTCAACTTACGTTCATTCATTCAGTCTTATCATACATAAACAATTATATTTATTTTTTCTTTTTTTGGTTGAT